ATTAATTTGAATGTTTAGAAATATTTAGTGTGCATTAATGATCTAAGACATTAATGATCTAGTCTAGGGATGGAACGATTACCGGTTTCACGATAAATCACGATTAAATGCCCTGACGGTTAGTATTATCGTTTAAAATTTAATTATCATCAAAACCGTGTTTGATTATCGCGCTTTTGAAAACTTGCGGTAAATCCTGTCCAGCCAGCATCAGTCTGACTCAGAAGCAGCATGCAATGTTGTTGTTGTTTTTTGCACGAGACGAAATGGCGGAAGGCAGTGACAGCGTTCGGGAGATTTTTCAGCCATCTAAGAGAACCAAATCGGTGGTCTGGTCGTATTTGGGCTTTTACAAGAGTCCTGAAGGCAATTTAATCGAGGACGGTCACCCTGTCAGCTGATCTTGCAAGAAGAAAGTAGCTGCAAAAAGGGTAAACGCATCAACTTTGCACAGTCATCTTCGTGACCACCCCCCACTGTTATATAGCGAATGCAAGGTAACTTTTACCTCAATACCAAAACTAACTGGGCAAATAATTGGACAAAAAAATATTGATTAGAGATTAAATATTTCGTTATCTCACTTCTAAAACTGATTCTCTCTCAGCAAACGCAGCACAATTTTGGCCAGTCTGTCCAACGCTAGCTTTCTTTTATGAAAACTCCTGAGCTTACTCTCAAGATGCTCTGAAATCCACTTAATGTATGATAACGACACCACAAGTCCTCACAGCAAATGAGAGATGGAGTGATAGAAAGAATGAAAAGAAAAGAAAAAGAAAGATAAGAGAGCGAGAAAGAGTGGTAGAGTGTGAGAGAAACAGAAGTGCGGGTGTGAAGCAGGATGTGGTCGGTCACCAGTATGCACTGAGGCAGTGGGAGCTCTTCGGTGTTGGAGCCTGTGGTCTCGTACTTTAACATCTCTCCCTGTGCAATGTGTCAGTGTGTCTCTGTCTACCCCACACTGTCACAGCATCAGCCGGCCTGCGCTTCTAATGGACAGACTGTATATCCAGTGTGACAGGTGCTGCCGGTTGAGGTCCTTCATTTCTAATGGAGTTCTGCATTCTGCCTGACTAACTCTCCCTGGTCACAGAATTATATATGCAAAGGGACTGTTAAAGTAATAATGTTTTATTTAGATTATAATTTTTGCTACAGTGGAATGGAAATGAGAATGTTTGATTTATTTGTTGACGCCGTTTGCCTCAGCCCAGGTTAATGTGGATGTCTTTATTCAAAGAAACTCATTTCAGGAGACACTTTAAAACCTAGCCAGGCATCTCTGGTAATTTCTTTTGGGGTTTATTTGTATATCTAAAACAGAAACAAATAGGTTTAGATTTAAAATCAAATCAAATCAAATTGTAAAATTGAATATGAATTTATTTTGTTTTTAATAAAAATAAAATATGAATGTATCATTTAACTTTGATCTTATTGAACAAAACAAAACAAATGTATTATAATTTAAATAAAAGCATAAAATAGTTATAAACTGTCTGTGTAGGTAGGTCTTTTACTTTATTTTTTAGATTTTCAAAAGCAATAAAATTATTATAAATATTTTAAGTAAAATAAAATAAAATTGTAAAAACCGGTCTGTAGGTAGTTTATACAACCAAGAAACTTAGCATTCTGATCTGATATTTTTTTGAATGTCCAATGCTAGGTGTATTCCAGAAATTGTGGGGCATTCATTCACACATGAAAAGCAGTAGGTGTTACTTTATTTGGCTCTTGAAAAGCAGCAAAATAATTATAGTAACTATAATCATTTAAAATGTAATAAAATAGTTCAAACCTGGCTGTGTGTGTCGTTTGCATGATCATGTAAACTTAGCATTCTGATGTGGTAGTTTTTAAATGTCCAGTGCTAGGTGTGTGTGAAATGTGGGCCATTCTGAAGGCACACTTGAAAGCAATACTTTATTTGGCTCTTCAAAAGCAAATGTAGAGTTACATTCCTCATATTGGCAGGGCTTTTAATGAAACATTAACTGATTGATCAAAGCTCTTCTGTGTTCCATTTTTGTCTGTGTTTCTTTTGTTGGAAAAATGATGCATTTATACGTCCAGAAATATTTATAAGCATTTTGATGTGCTTTGTTTCTCCACTAAAAATAAATGAAGCTAGCATAGAGAGTGACTCACAGAGGCCAGCGAGGTCTTTTGCTCTATATTGGTCAAAATGATTTGAACATACTTAAAACCTCATTAAACCTGCAGAACTCTGAGAGATTCCTCATGCTCATATATTGTTTTCGTGCATTTTTCCATTTTACGTTTGTAACATTTCTTTTAAATATGTCATTCTTGATTACAGATAATGTGTTCTTAATGGGAATCAGCTAATTAGGCCTCATTTCCTCTCTTCTGTTGTGTTGCGTGTCTCAGGAGCCGGTTGCTGCGGGCATGCAGTTGTCATGTGTTCTCTCCACAAACAGGAGCCTCTGGAACTCCTGTGTGAAACGTGCGACCTCATGGCCTGTAGCATCTGTCACCTGTCCGCCCACAAAGACCATCGGTATGCTTAGAGAACACATACCCACTGACACGCATGGCCACATTCACAGTGCTCTTGTACACATGCAAACACTCTCTCTCTCATACACTTTCCTAAACACATGCACAAAGATGCAGACAGAACAGGTGGCCACTTTCTCACGTATCAACAAATACGCTCTCGAGCATGTTGTGTGTAAACATTAAAAGTCAAAGGTGTTTCACTGGCTGTTGGTTGCTTCTCTTTAGACTGGTGCATGTTGGGAAAGCTCTGCAAGACCAGCGCTGGCTCCTGCAGAACCTCATGGCCCGAGTGGAGGAGAAGAGATCTGCTGTGGAGAGCACCGCTAAACAGATCCAGGGCAGGTGAGACGATATCACACCCATTCCACCTCCATGATGCTGCTAATGTTAGCGTTAATGCTAGTTAAACAAAGTGTCCATTACTCATCTAAAATGTGAACAGCTGGGATTCTTAAGACAACAAGCATAGTTTATATGAAGCATAATGACGTTGACAAGATCCGTTACTTCCTCTGAATGATTTCAGCAGATGTTCAAGCATCCAGATGTACTGGTCATATCGGTTTGTTTATCCTTCTATCCTCAACCATCTCCTTGTTCGCTTTTCTTTCCGTTTCTTTCCAGGCTCCATGGTATAAAGATCACGCAGAGGAAGGCAGAGAACCAGATAAAAATGGCTAAGATGATTATGATGAACGAGCTTAACAAACGGGCCAACCTATTAATAGAACAACTGGAGGTAATTACTTTTTCCCTCGTTTCTCTCCTCTCCGTCTTTCTGTGCCGTTCCAAACGTATTCATCTCCAAACATCCATCTGACCGTGGATGTACTGGTGATGGAGCGTGCAGAACAGAACGTCTTCTGAGCGAATCATGCAAAATAGGCAGATTCTGCCAAGTAGCGACATATCAAAGCAGATGGGGATCTTAGGAAAAGTGGTGAGGAGATCCACGTTTTTGTCGTTGTCTTCCGGTTGCAGAGTATCTCCAGTGATTTCAAGCAACGTCTGGAGGACCAGCTGCAGGGGGCCATAGAGCTGTGCAGCCAGCTGGAGCGTGTGCAGAACTTCATTACCTGGGCTACAGCCCACCACAGATGCAATCCACTGCTATTCAGCAAAGAGCTGGTAGGATTTTCTCAACGTCCAAGTGGGCTTTAGATGTTAAGATTCCTGGCAGCTGCCTGCTAAGTTTCTGGCGGGTCTCAAAAAGATGTCAGCACTATTAGTTTAAAGCAGCCTCGCCTCTTTTTTGTGGCTGCATTTAGATCTCTTAGAAATAGCCTTAATCGTTTTCTCACAAACATAAAAATAGAGAAACAGTGCTGTAAGAGTTTCAGTTTCACTGCCAGAACTGCATGCAATATTTATAACTCAGAGTTCTGTAATCATGAGGTTTGATCTATTATTCATTTGTCAGATTGCTCTTCAGATGCAGCAATTACTGGAGCCACTGATGCTCTCAGAGGCTTGGACCTCGTTGAAAATCAAGTTTAACTGGGATGCCAGCTTCTGGACCAAGCAGATGTCCACTTTAGGTAAGCTGAGCTATTGGACAATGGCATTAGATGGTTATTTTTTAAAGCCATTCACATTTGTACTTTCTTACAGTTTATAGTTTATCATACAAGGACAATGTTAAACTAGATTTGCACATTCTGAAGGAAATGTCAAGCCCTCAAAAACTGGTTTTAAAGTTGTAGGTGGGCTTAGGCTTTAGACTTTGGTTCTGTGTAAATGAAATTTGGCGGCAGTGTAAAGGTGACTATAAAAGTAGGCCAAACACAATGCAGTATACAAATATGATGGCATTATCACTTCTGTTCATTTGGAATGGACATTTTTAAATGAGCTTACAACTTAATCTTTCAATTAATCTTTCTTTCTTCAAATTTAGTCACGTCATAATAATTTGTCAATTCCTAAGATGTATCTGAAAAACATGTATCATATCTTTGTTAGCAGTAAGTTTTAATTAAAATCATTATAATTATAAAAAATATTTATAAATACTAAAAAATAACCACTAGTACAAGATTAACACTGGTGAACAAGAAGAAAAATGAAATGTTTGAGGAATATCTGTGGCCGCGCAAGCACTGTAATGATTCCTCCTTGCTTTAGGTCAGCTGGTTGTTGAAGGTGGAAGTCGTTCATACTCAGAGGTTGTGGGTCATCCCAGTATCCTGCGACCCCAGCCTGTCCCATGCATAGCATTACCTCCTCTGTGCCATGCGGTGCGTGAACCTGGCTGCGCCTGCCAGACCTTCTGCCAGCCCCAGCTCTGCTGTCTTCACTGCAGACCTACTCAATCCGTCCCTTTGGATAAATTCCCTGCTCAATGTCTTCAGGCCACCAGGCGGAGCTCCCCGCCGTCTCTTCACAGCTGCTGGGAGGCTGATGCATCTGTCCCGGTGCATCCACCAGGAGCTCAGCCTATACAGCCGTCCACCTCTCACCCTGGATCTGACCTTGTCCAGCATGGAGCCAGCTCAGCTTCACCTAGGCAGCCCGTCGGATCCAACAACCACCTGCTCCCTGCTAATTCCAACCAGGCTGACATGGACGGGAGAAAATCTGCACCAGGCCAGCCTCCTTGTGAAAGAGGGCAAACATCTGCACCCGAAGCAACCACAGGGCAAGAAGCATCACCAGACAGTGAGCTGCCGCTGGTCCACAATCAGGCTCAAGTGCAGACAGCCACAGAAACCAGCAACCAGCCCATGATTGAATTGCAGCCGATCGTTGCTCGCATCGATGATGACAGGGTGAGTTTAATTAATGTGTCTGTGTTTATCTGTCTTTTGCAGAGCAATACCTTTACTCTCAGTGTGCTCAATACTGACCACAATCCTCAGGCCTGGCGCTCTTTAGTGCTTGCAAAGGTTGCATGTCAACCATGCTGTTAACTGGTCTACACCACAAGCAGATGAAAAGGCCATTGAGCAGCACTGCAAATGTGCTGAAGCATTGAAGAGAACTAAAGTGTGGGGTCCTTACAGTATACTGATTTTGATTTTGGTAGATGATCATTTGTTTTTCAGTGTCAAGAATATAGGTTAAAATTTATATGACTGAATGTAAAGTATACATTTTCAGCAAAGCTACAGGTACAGCTTTGTTTTTACTATTATTAATCATGACTATTATTAATCATCTAGTAACATTTGTAGAACTCAGTTGTCCTGTGGTGCAGCAAATTCAAGTTTATTTTATTTGTACAGCGCTTTTCACGATACAAATCATTGCAAAGCAACTTTACAGCAAATTAAGTTTCTACAATATTTAGTGGTAGCTCATCAGTGTCACATGTACATCTGGCAGAAATGTACGGAAAAATCAATTAAAGACGTAATCAAACAGACGATGAACACTATTAACAGCAATTATTATATGATGCAATCAAACTTATAGCAAAATGTGGTAGTTCTGTATGTTGTTTCAAATGAGGCACTCATAAAGTCATTTTATGATGTTTTTTTCTCATTTTTGGACTCCCTGGTCTCCATCCACTTTTATGGTATGGGAAATAGCAGTGTAAATATTCTGCTAAACATCTCCTTTTGTGTTCTTCAGTAAAACAGATCATACAAGATGAACAAATGAAGGCAAAAATTTAATTTTTGGGTGTACTATCCTTTAAACATCTAATTGCTGAATCTGAAAGTTGTTGTGCTTATACAGGGAGAGGACTAACTTACTGCATTAGGCAAATGTGACTGTGACGTCACAAGAGAGTAATAAAAGCCCATTTGCCAGCAGAACTCAGCCAGTACATCCATCCATTCAACAAAGAGTGGTCTTGTCCTGGAGTTACGGTGCAGTCACAGGAGTATTGGTGAGTATCCACTTCTTTACTTGAGACAAATTGTTACCTTAGAAGTTGATTCCATGGTGTGCCGTCCACTGAGTAGGACCCACGATTGCTCAGATTTGGATTTAAACACTTGTTGTTCGATACAAAGAACTTTCTGAGACAGTGGAGAGATGTATCATATAGTTGTTGTTCATGTTATTTGGTTACTGCATACATGGGAGAGGCAGTGAGCCACAAGGAAATCAAGTGACTTGCCTTAAGTGTCAGGGTGACGGATGCAGCACAATGGCGCTGTTGTGGAGGTTTAGGATGGGATGGTCTTGCATGGGGAATCCTGTCGGTGTCCACACACACTTTGCAGAGAATTGTCAATTTGTGAGGAACTGTTAAAAGTCTGATAAATGATTAATGCTACTATTCCATTTAACAATAACTGTATGATATGTAAACCAGAGATCTTAAAAAGATTTGTTTAAAAAAAAAAAAGGGTTTAATATTGAGCTATGAGACAATGTAATATGAGCAAATGAATCGTCTATTCTAGTCTGTCCCAGGACAGGATTGAAAATGTCACTGTGTAGCCATGTTTCAACTTTGCTGAACTCTATCATATGACATGGAAGCCTCCAGTTCTGCGTGTGAGTTCCTGTAAATGTGTTAGTGCAGGCTGTCAAAGCAGATGAGCAGGAAACACATTGTCACTTTAGAGACTTATATTTTTTATGTGTTTTCTACATTTGCTGAAGTAGAGGCCTTCTGCATTACTTCTGTATGCATATATTCTACATATTACATTGAGACTGATTCAAAATTCTAGCTGCACTTAAAATTTAAACAGATATTTCTCAGAAAGTGACATATGTATGCCATGGCGTGTGTTCTAATGAATCATAAAAGAACAGGGTGCTTAAGTTAGTAACAGTATTTAATAGATTCAATAGTTTTATGAAATGCAAGATACATTCTTAAAATAAAAGATTAATTTTATTTTTTAAATGTTTTGCTGTTGTTTCACTTCTCACAAATGCAAATTTGTAACATATATTTTTTATATTTAGAATTTTTTACAGAGAAAATAAGCCTGTTACTGTAACCATTTTTCTTTCTTTCTTTCTTTCTTTCTTTCTTTCTTTCTTTCTTTCTTTCTTTCTTTCTTTCTTTCTTTCTTTCTTTCTTTCTTTCTTTCTTTACAGCCCTAAAACATTTTACATACACAACTGTTCAAAAGTTTGAAAAAAGTTTTTGAAAGTCTCTTATGCTCACCAAGTCTGCATTTATATGATCAAAAATACATTAAAATTTTAAAATAAGTTTAAAATAACTTATTTCTGCTTTAAAACATTTTAAAACTGGTAATTTTTTTAAACAGTTGTGCTGCGTAATATTTTTGGAGAAACCTTTTTTTTTCAGGATTCATTGATGAATAGAAAGTTCAAAAGAACGGCATTTATTCGAAACAAAAATTGTTTGTAACAATATAAATGTCTTTGTTGTCACTTTCGTTTTATTGTGTCCTTGCTAAAAAAAAGTATCAGTGTCTTTCAAATATATATCAAATGGCTGTGAAATCACAAACTTCAACCAAATTCTGAGACAAAATATCACTAATAGTATTTGGCCCTAACAAAGGCAGAATTATTAGTTAATGACATGAACTAGCAATAATTAATGCAGTAATCATGACAGAAAAATACAGTTTCTCCTCTATGTTCACACTGCTTTTGGGTTAGAGAGAGAAGGCATTGACAGATGAGAAGAGGATTTTTTTTTCTTTTTTGGTAGACGTGCAGACAGGAAATAGAGAGTGCGAAGGAAAGATTTCATCAGTGGCTTTCATGAGCCCAAATGCCCTTCAAATAATTTCAATTTCAATTTCAAGTTTATTTGTACAGCGCTTTTCACGATACAAGTCATTGCAAAGCAACTTTACAGCAATTAAGTTTCTACAATATTTAGTGGTAGCTCATCAGTGTCACATGTACATCTGGCAGAAATGTACGGAAAAATCAATTAAAGACGTAATCAAACAGACGATGAACACTATTAACAGCAATTATTATATGATGCAATCAAACTTATAGCAAAATGTGGTAGTTCTGTATGTTGTTTCAAATGAGTTTATGAAGTACAGATATTCCATGTAGTCTCTGTATGACAGTGGCTCACACAACCAGGAGGCCAGGACCCACTAGGGGGCTTCAGTAAACTTTTAAGGGGGACTCAAGATGACTTAAAATGAATTAAATTAAGAAAAAGAAAAAGCCATTAAAATAAGCTAAAACAATTAAACCCAATAGATATTTATTATTCTAATTCACCCCTCAGAAACTGTTTTTCTCAAAGACCTGGGAAAGCCATGTAAATTAATAAAATCCATGGATAAGTTTTGTACATTTTATGAATATTATGAACATTTTCATACTTAGGCCAAGCTAAAATATTTTATCCAGTAGTAATTGTAAGCAAAAAATATAGTACAAATATTTTGTACTCACAATAGGGTTATATGAGGCATATGTTTTTATGCTGTATGAAGTCATAAAAATGACGGGTAATTAATCAGTAATGAAAATAAATAATTTAATAGTATTTATTATATATTATATGTATATTATATTATTATTTAACTACTGTGTTCAAAGTACTGCATACTGTATATTAAATAATAATAATAATAATAGTATTCATAATATGTGTGTGTGATTATTATTATAAACTATTTTATAGAAAATAATTAATGATTAAAGAAAAATTGTTTTAGATTGAGTACAGCATTTCTGACATGCTGTCACACTGCTGTCACTGTCACATTTCATGTCACCCATTTACTGTAGTTTCTCATTTATTTAATTTTTTTGTAACATAGCACTTTGCTCATGTTGTGCTTGTGTTTTAAGTGTATTTGGAGTTGGTGACGGCGTGAGAACAGTGAACTCAACATCGCAACAAGCTCCACCACTCTCAATATTAATTTAGAAAGAGGAAATCGAATCATTCCAGGCAGCATCATCTCTATTTATGCGGCTGTAATGTGTTTTCGTCTTGACAGCCGCTGACAACACATCTGCAAGCAGATGGTGAGACATAAGTGAGGACAACTGTGGTGTGAGCACAGAAACAATCAAGACCACACACACACACACACACACACACACACAGACAAACTCGCTCTGCTCAGCAACCACTCCTCAAGCTTTATTGGATGAGAACCAAATCAGGCAATAGAAGTTATTATTAGATCTCTTGATGTCAGTATTTTGATAAATTTTCCTAGGACAAACACTAATCAAAATCAGTTTCCCTGTAAGATTTGGCACTCCAGGGGCAAATTTGTGTAATATTTATTTTTTTATGTATCATCTTCAGCCCATAACTGTGACATGATTAAAGGGAGGGGGAAAAGCGCTTGGGTGCAACCACATATTTACTTAACCTGGCATTAATGAGAAGCTAAGGGAATTGAAGGAGCCGGCTGTTGCATTTTTCTTCATCTCGCTGTAGAGCCCACACGATTACCTTTAAAGTCTCTGAGACCTCCTACCTTCTCTCTGCACCCACACATGCTTGCAAGACACACTCTCCACAGCTCGAGTCATTCCACCCTCTCCTCCTGGGCTTCTATCAGGTGAGTGTTTTTAATCCTGAGGTAATTATAAGAGAAAGGAGAGGGAGAAAAAACCCAAAAGAGTGCTAAAAGACAGGTGGAGGAGGGGCTACATCGAGCGTACGGGCTGCTGCCTCCAACTCTGACATTTGTCGTGTTAGTGAAGGATGCAGTCGCTTGGGCTTTTCTAGAACTTCTCGCATTAGTGAAATGATGACAAGTGAAGAAGAGGGCCGTGGAGGAGAGAAAGTCTAATCTCTGATGTGTTAATGCTGCTTATTCAAGGCCAAGCTAAAATATTTTATCCAGTAGTAATTGTAAGCAAAAAATATAGTACAAATATTTTGTACTCACAATAGGGTTATATGAGGCATATGTTTTTATGCTGTATGAAGTCATAAAAATGACGGGTAATTAATCAGTAATGAAAATAAATAATTTAATAGTATTTATTATATATTATATGTATATTATATTATTATTTAACTACTGTGTTCAAAGTACTGCATACTGTATATTAAATAATAATAATAATAATAGTATTCATAATATGTGTGTGTGATTATTATTATAAACTATTTTATAGAAAATAATTAATGATTAAAGAAAAATTGTTTTAGATTGAGTACAGCATTTCTGACATGCTGTCACACTGCTGTCACTGTCACATTTCATGTCACCCATTTACTGTAGTTTCTCATTTATTTAATTTTTTTGTAACATAGCACTTTGCTCATGTTGTGCTTGTGTTTTAAGTGTATTTGGAGTTGGTGACGGCGTGAGAACAGTGAACTCAACATCGCAACAAGCTCCACCACTCTCAATATTAATTTAGAAAGAGGAAATCGAATCATTCCAGGCAGCATCATCTCTATTTATGCGGCTGTAATGTGTTTTCGTCTTGACAGCCGCTGACAACACATCTGCAAGCAGATGGTGAGACATAAGTGAGGACAACTGTGGTGTGAGCACAGAAACAATCAAGACCACACACACACACACACACACACACACACAGACAAACTCGCTCTGCTCAGCAACCACTCCTCAAGCTTTATTGGATGAGAACCAAATCAGGCAATAGAAGTTATTATTAGATCTCTTGATGTCAGTATTTTGATAAATTTTCCTAGGACAAACACTAATCAAAATCAGTTTCCCTGTAAGATTTGGCACTCCAGAGGCAAATTAGTCTAAGATACATTTTTTTATGTATCATCTTCAGCCCATAACTGTGACATGATTAAAGGGAGGGGGAAAAGCGCTTGGGTGCAACCACATATTTACTTAACCTGGCATTAATGAGAAGCTAAGGGAATTGAAGGAGCCGGCTGTTGCATTTTTCTTCATCTCGCTGTAGAGCCCACACGATTACCTTTAAAGTCTCTGAGACCTCCTACCTTCTCTCTGCACCCACACATGCTTGCAAGACACACTCTCCACAGCTCGAGTCATTCCACCCTCTCCTCCTGGGCTTCTATCAGGTGAGTGTTTTTAATCCTGAGGTAATTATAAGAGAAAGGAGAGGGAGAAAAAACCCAAAAGAGTGCTAAAAGACAGGTGGAGGAGGGGCTACATCGAGCGTACGGGCTGCTGCCTCCAACTCTGACATTTGTCGTGTTAGTGAAGGATGCAGTCGCTTGGGCTTTTCTAGAACTTCTCGCATTAGTGAAATGATGACAAGTGAAGAAGAGGGCCGTGGAGGAGAGAAAGTCTAATCTCTGATGTGTTAATGCTGCTTATTCAAAGAAGCCTTCCATGCCCCAGATGTGGGATTTACATACGATAATTGGTGCTGTAACTAAGTCATATATTATCAGGAGAATTATTTTGTAGCGTTCTGAGTTGCGGCACTTTTCTCTCTGCATTTGAAAGATGTGATTGTTCTTTTACTCCAAACTAGTGTGGGTACTGTGCATTGTCACACTCAAGGTTGTTGTTCCTCACCTTCATGTCCTCTGATGTCACTGTTGCTATGGTTGTAATGTGCCGCATATGCTGTCGAGATCACTTTTAGCCTAGTGCTGCGCTAATGAGAGTTTGGCTCTCTTCCGTAGAGATCCTCAGCGCTAGAGATGTTCACGCTGGCTCAAGGCCGAGGAGGTGACAGCCAGAGCCGTTCCGGTTCGAAGAGGGCTACCAGGTCTCAGAGCAATTCAAAAGGACCCAGAGGACCTCGTAAAAGTCTGTGTAAAGCCAGGCCGAACAGGGCTGCTCATAGCCTGGCAACAGTGGCTGGGGACCAGGGATGCACAACGCAGCAGGTAAACTTTTTATATATGTGGTGAGACAAACATACCCTCTTTTCACAGCAATGCCATAGAAGAATAATTTTTGGTTCCCCAAAGAACCTCTCAGTGAACAGTTCTTAAAAGAACCATTTTTTCTTAGTGTAAAAAAACATTTAAAAATTCTAAAGAACCTTTTTCCACTATAAAGAACCTTTTGTGGAATGGAAAGATTCCATGGATGTTAAGATTCTTCATGGAACCATCAATGACAAAATAAGAACTTTTATTTTTAAGAGTGTAGACATGGCACTTTTCCACTGCATGGTAAGGCACGGCTCGCTTTTGGGGGGTTTTCCACTGTGTACAGTACCTGGTACCTGGTACTTTTTTCAGTACCACCTTGGCTGAGGTTCCAAGCGAGCTGTACCCTTACCAAAATGTGATGTGTAAACCCTGCTGATCACTGATTTCCCGGAGAAAATCGTCACTACCTGCATCATTGAACTTCAGACATTAGTCCCGCTAGATTAAGGGTGCTTCTCAAACGGAAGGCTGCATCCTACGAAGGCTGCATATCTCGGCTGCCACGTCATCAAACGTCGCTGAAGGCCATCTCAATCGGAAGGATCCTTGGAAGGCAGCCTTCGTTTCGCGCCCTTCCTTCAGCTGACTTTGAAGGATGCATGGGATGTATCCTCCGCGACCTTCAATCACCCACAATCCTTTGTACCCATTCCATTTCATGACGAAAAACGAGTCAGTACTGAGCTTGTCTGAATTTATTATTCAATGTAAGACAAAAATAATGTTTTCGGACATGAAAGGATAGATGTTATCTTTTGTTTTGGTGTAAATTACTTACCAAACGCTAAACTGCCAATAATTTAAGCCACGGGGAGACTAGACGACTGATTCATTGTATTGCATTAATAGAACGCAAAATAATATAAAGATTTGTAATACAAAGTATTTTTCCAAAACTAAGTTTTATTACTGTTTTTGTGAAGTGACGGTGAGGGCGGGAACATATGTGACATAGCCATGCGCACTTACTAGACTGTCTCATTCTAGCGTTTAATGCCGAGGAGGACTCTAGCCTACAAGACTCTGAAGGACTGAACTAGGAAGGACGCAGCGGCAGCCTCAGTAGGATGCAGCCTTCCGTTTGAGAAGCACCCCATATCAGCACAGCCGGCGAGGATCGAACGCAACTATTTTTGAACGAACGCAACAGTTTAGAACGAGCACACCTATTTTAAACAACAAAATAATGGCTGTTTCGTGGTCTGTTGAGGAAGTACAGACGTTCCTCTCGTTGATAGCCGAGGGGCGGATTCAGCGAGAGCTTGATGGGACGATGCGGAATGAAAAAGTTTTTCAGGAGTCGCGGCAGTAGAGGCGGCGCAACTATAGAGTAGTGGAACTATGATGTCACTTTCTATAATCCTGCCCACTCTAAAGCGGTACTAAACTGCAGTGGAAACGCAAACCGTGCCGTGCCGAGCCGAGCCGATGCGCCATTAGTGCAGTGGTTTATAACCAGGGGTTTATAATAAGCAAAAACAAGCTTTAAAATAAGCAATTTTAATCAGTGTACACTTCCAATTTCCATAAATAAATAAATAAATACTTTATATTGTTCATATTGTTGTGGACAGTGTGAGGCCTTGGAGTCAAAAAGGTTGAGAGCCACTATATTAGTGAGTTTTGTCCCAGAGCTCAGCATTGTTTCTACACTGAAAAAAAAATAAAAAAAGGATTTTTCAAAGTTGTACATAAAACAAATGTTATTAGAATGTTTTACAAGAAAATATTATTTCAGTCTTTCTACTATAACATTTCACATTTAATTCAATGAGTTATTTACTATTTCTTTGTAATTAATTGTGAAATGTACTATCAAGAGTGAAAATTGTTTCAACACCAAAGTTTTTTTTTCAGTGTAGGGATTTTGAAATAGCCTTTAGGTGTAGTCGTAATGTTAAACACGGACCCCACAAACTTTTTTGAAAATATATTTCTAAGAAGATAAGAATAGTACATTGGTATGAATGATTCACTATATTAATATTAATAATAATTGACATTGATGAAATGCTCTTGTCCTGACGTGCTTTTCATCACAATTCCTTTTAATGTCCATTTCAAACATGTCTGTTATACAGTCCAAAACACATTTGTTTCAGTGCACACAGCTCTATTGCTTGCCTTTTAAGGGATAAACCAGATGATGTACATCAAAAGAGATAACTGTTGTCTTGGAAACAGTTCCTTTAACCCCTTTTGTTAGAGAACAAATTAGATGCAGCAGCCCACATAACTGATTGTATTCGGTTTAACAAGTTCACTGTTGGCTCACATTCATATTTGCTGATTTAGTCTGCATGCTGATGTTGTGACATCACTGCATCCATTACCTGTCATCAAAGTGGCAGCGTTTCATAACTTTGATTTTACTGTTCATTTCTTTAATCTTAGCAGGTCTGTGCACGACCCGATGCTTCTGAGATGATGCCAGGACATATAAGCAGTCACACTGCATCCTCTCTGACCACCTACAAGTCTGAACCAGGTTAAGAGGCCAATTATGATTTCCAAATATGCTTCTTTCATGTTCAACTTGCAATAGATAATGACATAATGAGGAATTACACATTTCGTAGCGGATTAATCCATCTAAATGACATTTTTCCTGGTTTCAGATAACGTATATGCATATGCCTATGAAAACAGAAAACCGAAAACCAGAAAGAAGAACAGATTGTATCGAGAGGATCCAGACACCAGGTAGAATTTAAAAATGAAACAAGAAAAAGCTACAGGTTTACTGCGCTTGTTTGTAGGGCTGCACAATTTGGGCAAAAATTTTGTGATTTAAATATCAATATGACTATAAATGATGATAATAATATTCATTATTAATATTTTATTATTTTTATTATTGCTATTATATAAGAAATATCACTATTGTAATATTTCACTTTAAAATAAAAGTATTAAGAAAAATATAATAATAATAAAAAAATAGAACTTTGTAAAAACTGTCAAAATTTCCATACTAATATTTATGGCTTAAAATCTTCATTTTAAAACTCAATATCTATTAATATCTTTTTCAAACGTTAAACCATTTGAGCATTTTTTTTTTTTTGGTGGAAAACTGCAGAGAGCAGTATCCTTTGTTGACAACAGCCAGTTTATAAATGGTTCTAATTAAGTATGGAAAGATATAAGTGACCCAAACTCATGTGCAACAGCATTTACTGTGAACTGAGCAGCTCTGAGAAACTCCTGTGTAAAAGAACACAATACTGCATCAAAGCCATACACGATTTTTATTTTATTTATATGAATTGTGCAGCCCTACAAGTAACATTGGAAATGTGCCTTGAAGGTTGAAAGGTAGAAATGTTTTGTTTGTTTGTTTGTTTTCTACAGTGACAAAGAAGCCCCTGATGGTTCGAAGGTTCCAGTTGTGTGTCTTGAGCGACTCAAGATCCTAGTTTCACGACATCCACCACAGAACCATCAGGGCACAGACCTTACTTCTCAAACTGAGCCTGAACTCAAACCTGAAGAAACTGTATTCAGAGTGCTAGAGAGAAAGGTCACTTCTCAGGTATCATTTTAAAGTTGTTGAAATGTTTTTCTAGGTTTTGTATCATCTCCGTTAATAATAATAATATTAATGTCCTTCAAGGGAACTTTGGATAAGGAGTCGGTTCAGACAGAGGACAGCGTGTCGGCCACAGAGCAGCTATCACCAGAACATCTGCATTGCAGTGAGCCATCTGGCTCCCTTGAGGTTTCTCAGCCTCCTGTGCAAGAATTTTGCAACATAAACCAAGAGTCCAGGGTACTAGCCATCTCCAATGATTCAGATCCCATCTTACAACCTGACACTGAAGAAATACACTCCCCATCTGAACTCAGATCAGTGACAGGTTCTGATTTCCAAACTGAATCCATAAGAGAGGCTGAACCGGGCTCGGATGCAGACGTGGAATCGGAGCTCCTGCAAGAATCAGATCCGAGCTCTCAGTCTGAACTGCAGGTTGAATTTGAATCGGATGTGATTTCGGAGCAGCCTTCTGAATCAGTGCTCTCAGCTTCTGAACAAGAATTTGAATCAGATCCAGATTCCACAGCCGAAGTGACTCTGAATCTTGAACCGGAGTCTGAATGGGTTCTTCCACCTGCCGCTGGCTCTGAGACTGTATCAGAACCTGCAGCTGAACATCAGCCTGCAGAGGAAAGCCCTGAGATAGAGAATGAGGACTTCTGTGCGGTCTGTCTCATCGGAGGAGACCTTCTCTGCTGTGACCGTTGCCCCAAGGTCTTTCACCTGTCATGCCATGTCCCTCCTCTCCATAGTTTCCCCATGTAAGCCATTCTCCCTTCTACTTCACATATCCACCTGTGTCTTTACTCACTGCTGAAACTAACCTTTATCATCTCGGGCTTCCACAGAGGCGACTGGATTTGCACCCTGTGCAGGGATGTGGAGCAGCCAGAGGTGGAATATGACTGTGAGAATGACCAGATTTCCACAGCTTTGCTGGCATATGGGCTGTCGGCGTGTGACCAGAGGGTAAGTGAAGGGGATGCCGAGTCTCATCTGGCCTAGCTCTGACTAATCCTGTGACCTCAGAGGTCTGGGAGTCTAAATCCAAAAAAAGTTCCTCCCTCAAGAGATTTACAGTCTGTCTAACAAAAGTGAAATATCTCTGTTGATGGATGGCTTGTCTGTTTGATCACAGAAATGTGAGAAGCTGACGCTGCTGATCCTCAGCAACATTCTCAGTGCTCCGTTCCATGAGCCTGTCAGCCCTCTGGTAATTTTAAAACGAATATCTTGTGATTTTATATTTGTAGATGATACTTTTAACTATCTTTCTATCTGCTCATTTTTTATCTCTATCTATTTATAGGCCCGTCATTATTATCAGATCATCAAGAGACCCATGGATTTGTCTGTCATTCGGAACAGGCTCAGCAGAACCAGCAACACACACTATCGTTCCCCGCAAGAGTTTGTGACTGATGTCCTGCTCATGTTCAAAAACTGTGGCAAGTTCAACTACGTGAGTAAAATGCATTATATTATTAATCTACCTCCTCCTAGCCATTAGTGGTGAATATTTTATTCTGATAATATTCTGATTCACATTCAAACCACGTACTGATATAATGATTATGCATTACTTTTTTAATATCCTGTTTAATTTAGCTGAAATTAATTTTTTAATAGATAAGGTAACCCCCCCCGAACGTAAGTTTGGCAGGAGTTTGTTCATCTAATCCTGTCAATCAAATGACACGAATATAAAGTGGCTACTCACAGTATCTCACTCTTTCATCCTCCAAATCCTTCTTTATTTCTTGTACACTGCATTACCAAAAGTATGTGGCAGTGTAGCTACACGATTAGAAATTGGTGCATAAAATCAAGCCATAATGGAGGGTCGAGCAAATGGACTGAGGGTCATGCCCCCCAGTCCATTTACCCACATCACTTTTAAGGATTATATGGACATGTTGACTTGTGGCAGAAAGATAAAGATACATTTTCGTCAGCCATTACTCCAGTCTTAAGTGTCACATGATCCTTCAGAAATCATTCTAATATTCTTATCTGGTGCTCAGTTATTTAAAAATTATCATTGGTGCTCAATCATTAATAATTGTTATTATTATGCTGCTTAATATTTTTGTGGAAACTGATAAATTTTTCAGGATTCTTTGATGAATAGAAAGTTCAAAACAACATTTATTTGAAATAGTTCCAGTTCCATACAAAAAGTCTTTTGTAACATTATGAATGTCTTTACTGTCCTAGGTCCTTGCTGAATATAAGTATTATTTAAATTTTTAATTTTTTTTGTTAAACCTTACCCCAAACTACTTTTGAATGATAATGTATCATGTTTTCCATAAAAATATTAAGCAGCAAAAACTGATTTCAACCTATATCTAATAATGTAATATGAATAATAAGAAATGTTTCTTGAGCACCAAATCAGCATGTTAGAATAATTTGTGAAAGATCATGTGACACTGAAGACTGGAGTAATGACTGCTGAAAATTCAGCTTTGCCATCAAATGAATAAATGACATTTAAAAATATATTAAAATAGAAAAGTTATTTTAAATTGTAATAATATTTCACAGTATTACTGTTTTAATTACATTTTTGGTCAAATAAATGCAGACTTGGTGAGCATAAGAGACTTTTGACCCATAATGCATATTTTTATTTATTTATTTTTATTAACCATTTTGTTTTCTTCTTGTTTTTAGCATGGACCTCACTATATTTAGTTAAATGTATGCTTATACAAATAAAGCACATTTAAGATGTACTCTCTACATTTAATAACTTAATCTTGTGGAAAACAAGAAAATAATTACTGATTAAGAATTTGTTTGTAGATACTGATGGACTTATTTATTATCATCAAGATGGTAGGACATTATTATTGGCATGTAGCAGGATCACGTACTTTAGTTGGATATACTGTTAAATATGTATAGGAATATGCTCAGACATATGGATGTCTAATTTGTGAAAGATCATGTGACACTGAAGACTGGAGTAATGACTGCTGAAAATTCAGCTTTGCCATCAAATGAATAAATGACATTTAAAAATATATTAAAATAGAAAAGTTATTTTAAATTGTAATAATATTTCACAGTATTACTGTTTTAATTACATTTTTGGTCAAATAAATGCAGACTTGGTGAGCATAAGAGACTTTTGACCCATAATGCATATTTTTATTTATTTATTTTTATTAACCATTTTGTTTTCTTCTTGTTTTTAGCATGGACCTCACTATATTTAGTTAAATGTATGCTTATACAAATAAAGCACATTTAAGATGTACTCTCTACATTTAATAACTTAATCTTGTGGAAAACAAGAAAATAATTACTGATTAAGAATTTGTTTGTAGATACTGATGGACTTATTTATTATCATCAAGATGGTAGGACATTATTATTGGCATGTAGCAGGATCACGTACTTTAGTTGGATATACTGTTAAATATGTATAGGAATATGCTCAGACATATGGATGTCTCTAGATCTTAAAGGGTTAGTTCACCCAAAAATGAAAATTCTGTCATTAATTACTCACCCTCATGTCATTTCAAACCCGTAAGACCTTCGCTCATCTTCGGAACACAAATTAAGATATTTTTGATGCGTCACGCCGGATCTGTTTCCTACATTGTTGATTTGATCTGAACGAAAACAGCGTATCCGTGTGACGCAGCTGACACAGAACAGCATAGCTTGTTTACGTCCAGCTGATACTCTCCAAAATGGCGCTACGGGGGGATGCGGAGGAGACGAATTGTTGTATAAAGTCGTTTTTTTTTTTTCTTTTGCGCACAAAACGTATTCTCGTAGCTTCGTAAAATTACGGTTGAACCCCTGATGTCACATGGATTATTTTACAGATCTCCTTGCTACGTTTCTGGACTTGGGAACATTTCAGTTGCATTGCTGTCTATGCAGGGTCAGACAGCTCTCAGATTCCATCAAAAATATCTTAATTTGTGTTACGGGTTTGAAATGACATGAGAGTGAGTAATTAATGACAGGATTTTTATTTTTGGGTGAACTAACCCTTTAAGAGGTCAGAAATTGCAGATGCTGACAATGCTGCTTTCTTTCTCCAGCCGGACTCAGAGGTGGCTCAGGCAGGCCATAGTCTACAGTCCTTTTTTACATCCAAACTGAGGGAGGTTTTCCCAGATCTGACCTGCCCTGTCCAGGAGGAGGAGGATTCAGAGAATGAGGATTATGAGGAGCTGGAAAGAGCCATGGTGACTGGATTTCCCTGGCCTGAGAGAAAAGAGCAGAGCCACAGGAAGAGGAAGAGGAGGCACTCCCTCAACTGGAGGAGAAATCACTATTAGCTGTGCCTCTATATATATATATATGTACAGAGACATTTGACCCACTTGCTCTGAGTTTTCCATCCTGGGTGACTTGCTGTTTTTTTTTATTTAAAGATTCACGTTGAAATACAGTATATGCTTTTTCTGAGGACTAATCTCACACATTATATCCTGTTAATGTGTCATGCTGTTATCTGTAGCTGTAGGTAGGTGTTGATATAAGCCTATATCTCCAGACTCGCCTAAGGTCTTGCACTAGTATTTATTTCAATGCTTATACTTTCATGAAATTGTACAATCAATTTGATAGCTGACTGGTTGCTGGCAACTGCTATTTAGTAAATATAGATAAGCAACATTCATTGGTAATATTATATAATATAATTGCTCTAAATTTCATTCCTCTTTTATCCAAATATCCCTTGTAATGAGGTACTTTTTCCAGCTGTTTTACTGTGATGATTTTATTGACCTGTAGAGGGAGCACTTCATATAGCCTGTGGCAACACATTAGTTCATATTGGACTTTTTCAGTGGCAGGAGGATGTGCGTAATGTGACTGAAACCCACGAACCCTTTTTAGAATTAAAGGGGGATAATATTAGGCTGTTGCTGTGATGTTTAAAATTAATCTTTTAAATGCTCATTGACTAATGAGACAAAAAAGTCTTTTCACAGACGGATGGAAGACTTTTTAGTCCGGCATGTTCCTCCATGTGGTTCACGAACAGGTTTGATATTCGTATGTCTTCTGAATTTTGTAATACTGGTCTTAATTGCTGAAATTGCTGTGCAGATCATGTTCAATCATCTTCTAATGCTATTAACTATCTTTAGCTGGATTGTATTTAGTCTTAAAATATATATATATACTGTATGGTGTAAATATGCGATTCATACTTTGATGTTTCCTTCTGCTACACAAACACATTGCTTTTCCCTAATGTTTTTAAAATCAGACTTGAAATGCACCTCATTTAAATATATAGTCAGTTATGGATGAAATGTTGCCAATTGAACCTTCAAGACTTTGCCAAATTTAAAACAAAGCCTTACATATTGGTGCATTGAAGTCGCTAAAGAAACTTCTGAGTGTTTTTTTTTTTTCTGAAGACCTTTTTAGCATTATCATCAATGGCCTGCCAGAAGTAAACTAATTTGATCACAAATTAATCATGCAAGTAATTGCTTTTTCCAAAAACAACTGTAACTTCTAGCTTTGATTGAAGTGTACAAAATAAGAGGTTAAAACTACATCTGGAAATTTTCCATATAATTTTAAATACCTTTGCTGTGTCAACAAACCCTTCCTACTGCATCATTAATTTTCTTGTGACATTTATTATTTAAGGAAATTGACATTAGCTCAGGTAGACATGCAACTTTTAAACACTTAAAACCCTAAAGGCACATAGGCAAAGCCATATACACCAAGCATATTTATTGCTTGATTTTTCAGAGTGTATTACTGATTTTCATAAGAGTTGGATGGGTTAACAGACTGAAACGTTTCTAAAACCTTAGATAGGCATATAAACACATACTCATTCAACTTTTCAACAAGTTCAGCATAAAATAGCCTTAGAATTTTTTTGTGTGTAATTCCATTACACAAAATGGTCCATTTAGGGGTTCAGACAGCTCTGACACACTCATGACTCAACCTGGCAAGTTGTACACAAACATTAGGCCTCATTTGAAAACAGGTCTGTTCCAACTATACATTTTCTAATTCAATTTTACTTGCAGGCAACTGATTAAAAATCATTTCAACTTTTAAAGCATTACTTGTGGAAATAGAGCTCTAAATGCATGAGAGATACAGAACTGCAGTATTGGTGTTGGTCTGAGTGGAGTATGTGACTCACTGGTGTTCCTTTTGTGAGCATGTGAACACTGTACTAAGTATTGTGAGGGCTTTTTCCCACAGAGCAGAGACTTGCAAGAACTCCCTGAGATTCTTGAGGCTGTATTGTTGCATGTGGAGTTCTGACAGATTAATAAAGTCTGGCCATCCAACAGCACGGAGGCCATAAGCCAAGAAGAGGGCCCTGGATAATTTCATTACAAATGAAAAACTTTCGGATGACATCTCCACCGGCCACGTTAAATCAAAATGAGGTTTTTCCACTTTGTGTTTGATACGTGAAAACAAAATGCATATGCCTTTTGCATGAGGGAAACAGGACACTGTTTTGGTTCAATATTTGCAAGATAAAGATTCTGCAATCAAGGCTGTTTGACATCAGTCAAACATGACATCAGTTTGATTAATGACTTGTGCATTGCTTTTTTAAGACAGCAGTAGTTCAATTTCTAGACATTTTCTTTAGTGATATATTCAATCAACGCTGCATACAAAATAAATTAAGTTTAAAAAAATAAAGATTAGGGAAAAAAATGAATTTTTTTAATTCAAGGCCAAAATTAAGCATCAAATAATTCTGAGAATTGCACGCAAGACAGTTTACAATGTGATATACTATACTAAATGCAGATTAATAATTTGTTTCTTGCTGTAATCTCACAGGCTCACATATGGGACAATCTTCCTCTAACCATTCCTTCAGATAAAGATATTAAGTGAGCTTTGATGCTATCTAAAATGGTGATCATTTTCTTCAGTGATACCGGATTTTTTTCCTTTACAAATTGAGTTTCCCTGGAAAGGTACTGATTCTTAACCCCAGCAGACACTTTCTGGCTCATCTTAACTGACAGCTTCCTGATGACACTTAGATCAGATCAGTGTCTGGTCTGGGTCTCGGAGAATTCCCCCAATACTTGCAGGATAACACCCCTGATTGCCTTCTTAAAGATGGGGGATAAGAGCAGAGCCCCTCAAGGCCACGCTAAACACAGACATGATGCAATAACTCTACTGGCAGCTTTTAAATCCTCCTTTCCTCTTCTTCTCATGAGATACAGCTAGCCTCATTCCACCCCCCCCTTCAGATTTGAGTACTCATTTATAATGATTTCTAAAGGAGGTCATGATTTCTTGAAGTTTAATGGGCAATTTGTGCCCATTTTGCGTGCCTTTTGAAATACTTTGATTGTGATTAGACATGCAACTGCATTTGAAATATGTAGATAATTACGAAAATCCATGCAAGTAAATAAGCGAAATGTTTCATAGCATGTTGCAGTCTAATAGAATCAATATTTAGGTCTTTGCAAATGAGAAAGTTTATAGCCCTAACAAATGTGTCCTTTTAGAACAGTTCAAAAAATATTGTGAGGTCTGATGGAACTTTAACTTGCCTTCATCATGATTGATTCACATCTGTGTGCTGTTTGGCCAGTTTAGAGAATGCCTTTTATATATATATATAAGTGATGTACCGCGTCCTTCTGTTTCATAATCATAATAGGTATACTTCCATTTCATAATCATGTTTTTTTTTTTTTTTTCTGTCAGTGATTGCTTGTTTTCAGGTCTTTGCAAGCTTTTTAACTTGAGCGACTTGAGTGATATTCTGTTTTTAAGCCTCACTGATTCCACAAAATTTGTTTATAGCTGTAATTTAATGAAATTCCACTCTGTCTAAAGTGATATACTCAGTAGTGAAATGGACTAAGCCTGATATGTGCCACATATTTGTGGTGCCAGGCATATTTTGAGCTTTTGTATTTCTAAAGTGTCTGTGAGTCCTCAGATGACAAAAATCAAATGAAACATAACAGAATATTAATGGGACACTGCTGTGAACTCAGCTGAAGAATGAAAAGACAGAGAGAGAGAGAGAAAAAAAGGTCTGCGGAAAAAAGACTCCCTGACCAGTGTAGCAGCCCATGAAATTGAAGTTTGGATGGCTGAACGTCTTTCAATTTTTGGAACTGTTCTGGAAAAGAGGGAAAATTGATTGCTGCTCTCCACTTTAAAAGGAATTGATCCCTGCAATCAAAATATGGATGACATTCTTGGCCGAGTTGTATGTTGGCACTGAGAACTTTGCTGTTGGGGCTAACATGTTCACCCAGATAATTGAGAGGTAGCATACTTGATGTAAGACAGATTTGCCAACCACTTTAAATAAATGACCCAAACTTCAGTTTCAGTAAGACTATGTACTTTTATACTTCATATGGGGACTTGCCTGAGAGGTTATACACCATCAGAAAAAAGGTGTCCTGTCACTGGCATGGTACACTCTTAAAAATAAAGGTGCTTCAGGATGCCATAGAAGAACCTTTTTGTCTAAATGGTTCCATAAAGGACCTTTAACATCTGAAGAACCTTTCTGTTTCATGAAAGGTTCTTTGTGGAGAAAGAAGGTTCTTCAGATTATAAAAAGGTAAGAAAGAGATGGTTCTTTAAAAATCCTATGACTGAATGGTTCTTTGTGGAACCAAAAATGGTTCTTCTATGGCATTGCTGTGAAGAACCTTTTAAAGCACCTTTATTTTTAAGAGTGTACCCAAAAGGTACACCTTTACCCCTAAAGGTTGCATATTAGTACCAAAAGGTTTAAAAAGGTACCACACCAGTGATGGCTTTTGTACCTTTATTTCGGAGAGCAACAAGCAACCAGAAGAGTATGTACAGTAAGTGGAATGTTCTAGAATCTCAGCATGGTTTGATTCCTGATTATTTTACACTATATAAATAAACAAGTGAGTGTTCTAAACTGAGGTATTCTATAATCTTTAAGCTAAATTATAATGTTTTGTTTTATAACAGTTATGCTGTGGTTTTGTTTGTACATATTTGATGAGTCAAAGATTCAAATGTTCACCACCTACCGTCGCAACGATGTAACTTGCAAAACGAGTCATTGAATAGTTTCACCAGTTCATTTGGACCGTGAACAATGATTCAGTTTAATATTGCTTAAATCTAAATCAGAGTTTCTGATCAAAATCAGCACTTTGGTTTAAATTCACAAAAGCAAAGTTCTCCACTTGTCTGAACAACTTTGAAGTGTCGGAGGGATGTTGAATTGACCTTGTGGCAGCTCAGCACTCTGCGAGAAGTGGGAGGGGAGATGGAAGAGAGGAACGTCTGCGAGTACGACAGAAAGAGAGTAAGAGGAATAGAGAGAGAGGGAGCGTGGCACCACTTTACAGAGAAGAGTAAATAATATAAAGAGTTGTAGCTGGGACTGTCCAACTACTTGGACATAGAGAAGCACAGCAAACACCGGACACCATCTACAACAATGAATGACATCAAACTGGCCCTGCTGGGAAGTGAGGGAGCAGGCAAATCTGGTGAGTGCTTATCTTATACTCTATGTAGTGTGTACATTTTAAATGCATATCTAAATATGTGTCTTTCAGATTAACGTAAACTTTACAGCAACATGTGCCTGTTGCATGGTCCTCACATTTTGAGTTGGAAATGGTCCATGTGTAAGCTGTACAGTAATGTGTGTGAGTGCTTCACAATGCACTAACACATTATGTCTGCCCTACAAACACTGAAAGCACTGTGTATATTGGAACAGATCAGTAGTGAGGTCATGGTTATACAAATCATCTCAGAGGGAAATTAAAAGAGATGGTTGTGAGAGGCAAGTAATTGCTGAAATTGGGGAAAGATTATTTTTTGTTCCACTCAGCAGCATAGGAACATTTAGCCCTTGAGGCTGCATACCTGTGCTAATGACTATTAAGTGTTTGGGAAATGATGATGCTATGTCCCCTGAGAACAAAACTAGTTTAGTGGGGGTCCTAAATCAGGGTTCTGACCTGAATGGCCGGGGTGAAGACAGAACAGAACAACAAGGAAGGTCTATTGTTGCAAATTTGAGGGTTTGTGAGGAATATTAAAGGGGTCATATGATGACTGCTTAATGGTTTATATTTGGTTGGGGGGATTGAAAGCAGCTTTCACGAGGCTGCCGCGGAGTGTGTATTTATGCACGGAAACTCAAGCCCTGACTTCAATGAGCCAGCATAGCTTCATGGCTCAAATATTTAATATAGACCAGGTAGTGTGCTCATGGAGAAAATGTAACAGTTTTTCCTGTGCCAAATATGCACCAGCATTCACTGTAGACTGGCCAAGTTTTGATGAGGGGCTGTTCTTTGACCTTGTTCTCTCTCTTCCTATTTTAAACTGTCATATGAGTCATTTACATCAAGGCTTAGGATGATCAATCTCAATAACTGACTGATCATTCATTTCCTCTCTCTTGTCCTCAGCGGTTTTGGTGAGATTCTTGACCAAGCGATTCATAGGAGAATATGCGTCAAATACCAGTAAGTACAGTCTCACATGTATTTTATTAATGCAAGAGTACTTCCTTTATATGCAACTGGAAAGAAGTATGCATCTGAGTGCAAAAATGTATCTGAGTGAAATGAGTAAAAGGATTAAAATAACAACAAAAAAAAAGAATACATTGAAACAAAGCTTATTGCATAAAAATAAGAAATCTCTTAGAGTACACTGTAAAATAGTTTTGTCATTTTTATAGAAAAATAAGAACTTCTTGTTTTAGTGTCATGTGTTGTTCTGATGGTGTTTTGTTTTTACGATGGCTGTTTACAATTAACTGATTTATCATGTGGCTTTCTCTTTAAAAACCTGTATTATTTTGGTGGTTTTCAGCACATTTTAAGGTACAAAGCAGATTTGGGTACTTCTATTAGTTTAGTAAATTAACATAACTTAATGAAATAAAGTTGTAAAATATACAGGCACCATTATGCCATCCTGTAATACTTGAAACATTGTCTCTGTATATTTTACAGTGAATTTCTGGCAACCACAGATGCTTTTTTTTTTACATAAATTTGGACAGTGTATTTATTTTTGATTTGATGAGCTCTACAGGGATAGTGAAAATGCTGTCATAATTTACTTACCTCATGTCATTCCAAACCTTTATGAGTTTATTTCTTACAATATTTATTTCATACAATATAAGTCAATGGGGTTCCGTTTTGTTTTTACTCCTTTAGCTTTCATTATATGGACAAAAACATTCAAACGTTCTTCATAATATCTACTTTTGTGATCCACAGAAGAAAGTCATACAGGAAAGACATTAGACATTTATAATAAATGTTAACATTGATTGTAAAAGGCTCAACTCTGTGTACATGCAGGGCTGGTCATGTATGTTTTCCTGTTGTCTAGTTCCTAAAAGTCTATTCCATCTAATCATGCCATGGATTTTTTGAGGCTCCCAGTAATCACTGCACCTCTGATACAACTACATGTGTATCACATCACATGCACTCAGCATCTACTTTTATTCCCTTGAATTTTATATGAGCATCTAACAGTCTACCTTGATTTCAGGGGTCTGATTTTATGATGTGCACGTTTGTTTTAATACCAAGGATTTTATCCATCATTGTTTGTTGCAGACTCCTTATACCATAAAAGGCTCTCCATTGATGGAAGACAGTTGAACTTGGAAGTCTTTGATCCATGCTCACAGGTATGTGTTTATTCTTTCATAATGGCTACCCTGAGCTCATGGCTAGCGTTCATACAAACTCTGTCATAGGGCAACATGCTCAGATATACCTGCTTCTTATGGGAAATGCATGTTGTGTTCTGATGGGATTTATGGTCTTTCCCTGAAGTAGAGTATACAGTGCAAAGCCATTGAAAACTGAGCCTCACGTCTTACGGCTGCTGCATCTGGGAACTTTTACTTCGCCAGTTGTTGTTTTACTTTGATTTCCAAAACTGAAGTCATGAGATGGGCACCTTTCTGCCCTGTAACTAAATGCCTGTGTATATACAGTCAACACATGTATGGCAGTCAATCACTGCATCCATAACAAAAACTTCTGGTAGAGATCTAGTCAACTCTAAACAAATGAAATAACAATCCACTTTTCCATTTTGTCTGACGGGACTTTACATGAGCATGTTTTTTTTTTGACTGGACCTCTGTGTGCCCCCACCCCCTGGCAGAGTGGAGAAAGCAGATGTATCCTAGAGGAACCACTGGACTGGGCTGATGGCTTTGTGGTGGTGTACACCATCAGTGACCGTACGTCCTTCCTAAATGCCAAAAACATCCTGGCGCAGATCAAAGAGAGTCGTCGAGAGACCTGTAAAGGGTGAGTCAGAGTCTCTCCAGTGACCTTTTGACCTCTGTCTGATGTTGACTGGAATAGGGCGATGGAGTTTTAATGAATTAATGAGGACCATTTGCAGAACAGAGTGGAGGCTTCCTGCTTGGATCTGTGCACATATGTAAAGGTCAGACTGGGTCACATCAAATAATCAAAAGAACTGTAAGATTTCCAATGGTTTTGATAACTGTATTATGACCAGCAGGCCAAAGCTTTCCATTTTAGTCCATCACATTTAAAGAGAAATGTAAAAGTCTGGATGGTTTAGGTTTCACTGGTTATTTGTCATTTGAAAGTCCTTTGAAACAATAGTAAGTGAGCATGAGACTGGGCATCTGGAGCCCATTAGAACTCTGAAATGGGCAAGGAGATCACTCATGGGTGGTCAAAATCCAACATCCAAAATCGGCTTAAAATTTTGACACTTCAAAAATAGCAAGTGGTTGTACTTGTAACATGAAGTTTTAGCTTTGCAGCAAATTTCCAACCACATTGTGACCATATGATATTTTTTAATGTCAAATTGTTCCACTTGCTATGCTGTCAGATGAGGTAAAAATGTAGGCTATGCCATTGCCATTGTTCCAATTAGGACACACAGTGTGAGAAATGAATCTCAGTGTATGAACATGTTTAGATTCAATATGGATGTTACTATTTAATGTCACATTTACTTATCAAACTAGAAGCAAATATAAATGTATTCCTAACCACTACTCAATTTACTTAATACATCATATGGCCATGTTCTGATCACAAAGTAATTTTCTCTTGAAAGCAAATGATCAGATTTCATTTCAGTAGGGAGGTTCCCATCTGCCTGGTGGGTAACAAGCAGGACTTATGCCACAGCCGCCAAGTGAGTGAAGAGGAGGGCCGCTCTCTGGCCCAGGAGAACAAATGCCACTTCCAGGAGGTTTCAGCGGCTGAGAACTACCTGGAGATCTCCAACCTCTTCACAAAGCTCATCCGCCATGTGATGGAACAGCTTAAGCATAGAGGCGACCGCAGGCGGTACAGTGGCTCCAAATCCATGGCCAAGCTCATTAACAATGTCTTTGGCAAGAGGAGAAAGTCTGTTTGAGTGCAGCACATGAAAGAGCCTAGAAAAGAGCAATGAGTCAGTCTCCATTGAATCAGTAATGGAGATTTCACCCTGTTAAACCTGATGTTCTTGGAAATGTTTTATGTGTATGAATAGAAGTACATAGTGCAAATTCAAGCCACTATGAGAAATCCCACGCAGCCGAGAACATTATATATAGCAGTGGTTCATGGTTTATGAATTTACTTTTATCTGCCTCCGAAGAGTCAGAAAACCCAAGGCAACTTTTGTCTTAAAATTCATATTTTTGTTGACATATATCTTGATAATATTTTCAATATCTCTGAGAAGAATGGGGAATGTTTGCAAATTGGTGAAGCTTTTGCTTTTCTCTTGAAAGAGTAGCACACATTATTTCACTTGCTCTCTGAAAATGTTTTAATGGCATGAGACCGAGCTTGCATCAAGGAATGCACAACAAAGTTGAAGTGAATTTCATATATCAAGATGCTGTGATGAGGTGTAAAATGCAGATAAATTACCTTTTTGTAACAAAAACCAATGGCAGAGGAATGAAAATAAAACTCTTCTGCATTCCTTCCGTAGCATTCTCAGGGACTCTTTTGAATAAAAACAATGAACTGCAGCCTTTCCGCATGTAATGTACAGTTGCAAGAAGAGGTTTGTGGACCCTTGGGAATGACCTGTGTAAAAACACATTCTAATTTAGGTTTATCACAAAAACAAGCTAAAACAAGCTAACAAGGAATGTTCTTAGAACTTTGGTTAATGTTCGGCCAAGTTTCTCTCAAAGTTATGGAAAAGAGTTCTTGATGTTAACAGAATGTTCATTCAGAGTTATCTGGTCTTTACTAATGTTCTCAAAACATTAGCACAAAACATTATTTATACATCATTCATGGAATGTTTTATTTCTGAAACGTTTTAGTTGGACGTTCATCTAACATCTTTAAAATGTTGCTACTTGTTTCAGTATATTCAGAGAACATTAATTGGAAAACTATAAAATGGAATGATCCCTTGCCGTTCATATAACAAAAAAAGTTTTTTAAGCATTCAAAAATCTGGGCGTTTCGAATGTTCAGAAAACGTTTTCATAACATAATAGGACCGTTAGCAAAACGTTCTTAGAGCATATTTTTGTTAGCTGGGATCGTGCTGATCACTTTGTTTAAAAGTTAGCAGTCTAGATTGGCAAAAGTACTGTATGTGAACTGTTAAATCACTTATACCCTGCTTATATCCTGTCATGTTTTTGTGTGTCTTGAGTCAAGAGAAATGGTGGATGAGTGGATATGTCATTGTGGCACTGTATTTTTACAGCTACTGTGAAGATGCATGCTAAACAACACAAATCATACTAGAAGGGCATTGGTCCTGGAATATAATACAGTGATGTTGTTGATAAATACCAGTGACATTTATGTGTGAGCCAGTTTTCGATCATTGCCCCAGTGTTTAGTGGCTCAAGGCCCTTGCAAGTGCTTGAATTTGTGTTTACGATATACTGATTCACAACGTAGGGACATGGGGAGTGTAATGAGACACAGCAACAGAAGCCATGAAAGACTTCCAAAAAAAGAATCACAGAAATATCAATAAATTGAGTTGTCAATGGAGAAAAAAAGGTAAAGTTATTTTGTGCAAGGCTGCTTATCAGATGAAGGATGTATTAAACAGAATTTACTGGTGCTGCTAAAGTTACAAAATACAATACTGATTCTACTTTTCAGTTTATTGTTTAGGTACCAGTAATGTCATGTATAGTTTGTGTGATTAGCTTGAGCAGGTTGTGTTTGTCTATTTTTGTAACTTGTTTGAAGAGCAGCTTTATAATGCAGAATTCCACTTCATACTGTAGAGAACTTTTCTTACAATTGTAGTTAAAGTGGAATGTGTACCTTGATTTTTTAAAATGTATTAACATGTTCACTAACCTAATAACCTATGAATAAAATGTGTTTCTTTTTTTCTTTTACTATTGCTATATGTCTTTTATAATTAATAAAAGATGTGTTTGCTTAGACATTCTATCATAACCTGATATGTTTACAATGAATCTTCTCTTACTGTGTCAAAGTGTTGATCTATACAATCTATTTCAGTCAAGTATAAATTGATTCTATTTTCACACGAGTGCAATTTATGTTAGTTAACTGTCAATGTAGCCATTTCAGTGTTTTTTTTAACTGATGGTTTAAATACACTTTTCAATTTGGCTCAGTGGTAGAGCATTGCGTTAGCAGCGCAAAAGGTCGTGGGTTCGATTCCCAGGGAACACACATGGCAAAAAATGTATAGCCTGAATGCACTGTAAGTCGCTGCGTCTGCTAAATGCATAAATTATTATTATTATTATTATAAACACCATACCTGTTGTTTTTTAAATCCCCTATAGATAGATTTGTTGGTGTAGGCCTACTCTTATATGCATTTTTTTTTCAGTACATTTACTAAATTACCATTTGTTTTCTTACCATACTGACCTACAATAAAATATACATATCATGTAAATAGAAATTAATGTAACAACACTTTAAAGTTATGCATTACCTTACTAGCTCTGAAAAATTAATATACTTATGTTATACCTTAAAAAAGCATTTCTTCAGAAGAGTATGCCACTGCCAGACTTTCAGAAAAATAGGCTACCACATATGCCATTAAAATGAGACAAAAACAGTCATGAACCGTACAGGAGCTCATGATCCACTAGATGGAGACAAACACCTAGTACTTCCTAACCGTCTTAACAACTGATAAACTTTAACCATAAGCAAAATCTAAAAGAGAAGCAGATTTTGTTACTGATCAATGCCAGCTTATCTTGACTGATGGAAGTTTTTGTTTAAATTGCATTTAAAAACAATACTTTATATAGCATAATATTCACACACAATTTTAAATATCAAATTTCACTAAAAGCGTATTAAAGAATGTCCTGCAGTTATTTCAGCTGTAGCACGTGCAAGATTAAAGTGAACGTCTTTAAACAGGCTATGTCACTATATAACACAATACCTATTAAGAGGGCGTAGCACAAACCGCAGTGATATTCTGCTGTGCTTCAGTAAACTGTACTAATGAATCCTTCTCTGACTAGGGAGCAGCAGCATACAGATCCTAGAGACATTTTCCGTGACAATCACGCCGTGTGCCCAGTATTTTTGTCGGCTGTTCAGATTCAGAACTGCTGATTCCCGAAACAGGAATGAATGACTCATTTGAGTCAGTTCAATGAACTGGTCAAACCGGTTAGCATAACAGTTGGAATCGGTTCGCGATTCAGTAGGAATCATTCGACGCACTGAATCTTTTGGATCGTTTTGTCGCTATTGTAAAACAATACGACGGAATACTTGCGACGTTGGATGAAGTGGAATATTTACCTACAATTATTTTAAATCAAATCTTCAAATTGATCCTGCGTGCCAGGAGATGAAGATGATTAAGTTCAACACCTGCTCGTGCAGCGTTTGAACATCTCATGAGTGCAGCAAAGACATTTTGAAACGAAAATAACTAACAGCATACGGAAGTACTTAAAAGTACAAAAAGAAAAAAAAATAGCATTGCATATTGCATAAACATTGCAAATATCATGGCACGCTAATATAAGGTATTCAGCACAACAGTATATCCCATATACTGGACTCAAGTACTGATGAAAGGCTAGAAACGGCCCTGGTCGTGACATGACAATAATATGCTACTTGGGATTCATGCTTCCAGTTATTGAATTTGTTCTTCACATAACTGCAGTGTGCAGGTGTCTCGTGCTCGTCATGTCCCTCACACCACACCGTAGTTCGCCCTGCCTCCCTCTCGAGGGAGGAAAGTTTGGACAACCGCACGCAAATGTCACATCTGAAATTCTCTTGCATCAAGGATTTCGATGACCTGTAAAAGGCGTCACAGCGGAAAACGCCTTGGCAAACGAAACAACTCATATGAAAGGTAAGTGTATATTTATAAAAGCGGGTTGTCTTCATGTCTCGTGAGCTTTCATTGAAGAGGAAGCGCGAGTTGGCCAAGCGCTCTATGTTGCCATGGCAACGAGGTCCGGAGCGGCAGTGTAATAATTTTCATCTCACTAATGTGCACCTAAATAAATTTAACTCGACCACTTCTCACGGAAATACAATGAATATGTATCTGTAGTCGCATAATGTAAGTAGAACCATTATGCTGAAAGCGTTATGTTACTTTTATCCTATTTTGGACCGCAACACGACTAAAACAATTTTGAGAAATTTTGCTTGGCTAACAACTATCTATTAGACGCGGGAAATAAGAAAAACCCACTAAAATAATACAGAAATTGGTATTTTAAAAAATCTATTAAAAAGACAGAAAGAGAACTGTATGGAGTTATGTTTATAAAATGAAGTGCTCAAACAGAACTTGATTTTATCACACTAAGGATATAACTTAGTCACCTAGCCACTCCATACACAAGCGTAGTGGGTGTTTTGAAACATAAGGGAGCAATAAAACATCTATTATTATGCAGGTTCTATGCCAGATAATTATATTTAGCTGGAACAGGTCACATGGAGTTAATTACTTGCATAAGATTTAAATAATTATTGGCTTTAAGCTACTGAATATTGGTTGCCGTGGTTGTGCCAGGTCTCATTTTGTCCTACAAAATAGGCTTTGTCTATGTTGGCTATGTGGGGTATGAACTAATATTTAGCATAGTGTCATTCTATCATTCTGTAAGCAAATATGGTCAAATATATATATATATATATATATATATTTTTAATAAGATCAAATTCTCATGACATATAGCCTAGGCTGTGTCCGAAAGCTGAAAAAAGCTGCCTTCTCAGGCAGTGGCCTATAGGTCGGAAAGCATCAAGACATGCCTGAATTAATTGTTTGCATTACATCCTGTATATTAAAATGCCTTTATCTGGTTGGATTTTGAAGCTTAGATGTGTCCTTCGCTACCTGTGATATTCCAGTCGGTATGGTGTGTGGGTTGGCAGTTGGTGGAAATAATAAATGTGATAGAGCAACTGAAAGGAGTAAATTCATTTATAGGCTATATGTCAATGTTTTTATTTTCAATGTTTGAACTTAGAGAAATAAGCACTACATATGAAATAGATACATGAAAATAGTTGTCACTAAATATTTGCTTGTTTATCTCTAGAACT